ATCTGAAGCTTTAAAAGAAGGTAAAGAATTGGCGAAAGACTTGGGTTGTAGTGAATCTGAAGATTGGTTACAATTTTTGCGAAATGTCGACCCAAAGGAACTGGTGGCTAAGACTAAGCCATCGACACGACCAGTATTTGGCACTGAGTTTCTGCCCCTTTCCGCACAAAAGGCTTTTGAAATCAATCAATTCAATTCAGGTTTGACTTAATTTACATATAAATAACATTTTATAAACTTTTTTTAACATCAATACAGACATCGACTTAATTGCGGGCATAAACTCAAATGAGGGGTCATTCCTGTCAGCCAAACACTTGCCACCATTAGATGAAGTCATGACTGTTGATCACTTCAAACATGGCGTTCAAGTGGCTGACAAAATGTTTCACGGATTGGACGAAGTTTTTCACCAGCTGATAATGGACTTTCCGTAGCTGTGTTCGTTAAGTAGCCGTCAGTCTGCTCGGAAAATACTCAAAATGCCGCTATATATGTACTTTATGGGCTGTATAGACAAGCGGTTTGAGTTTGCTATAAATACACAAAAAAGTGGCAAAAATGTCTACTTTTATGAGTTGACATATCAGAGTAAGGCATTTGCAGATATTTTTAAATGTGGTGATGAGATGTCGAGTGTCGCACACGGGATGGATTTACCCATTGTATTTGGATGGGGTTTAACCCCATGGCATGGCATGGTTCACCTGTTCAGTGATACCGACGCCCAATTCAGTAGAGATGTGATGAGAATGTGGACTAATTTCGCAAAATATGGGTTCATTGAAAAATTATATATAATTTAGTTAATAAATAGTTTATAAATTTTTAATAATTTTCTTCTCATACATAGTAAACCGGATGATAAATGGCCGCAATTGTTAGGTGACAATAATGTGCCGAAAGTAAAGAATTTAAACCCCGACCCAACTCTAAAACCAATGGATGACCCGTACGGTCGAGTCTATAATGAGTTCTGGAGTCACTACTGTTTTTGAAAAAAATTATATAATTATTAAACTTTTTAAATCTATTAATAATATTGTCGAATTAACCAATTCAATGATTGTGTTAAATTAAATGTATGAATAAACTAAGTAGGTTAATCTAAATGATAATCGTCTTACTTTAGATTTTCTAACTAAAACAATTAATAATAAAAAATTAAATATTTTATTACAGAAATGAGCTTTTTAACAGTATTTGCTAATTAATTAATTCAATATCCTGTACTAATACTACAATATAAGAAATTAAATGACACAAATTATTATAGATTAATTATAGATAGTTAGTGCATTATGGTCTTTTTTAAGATAAGTTATAAGTGCATTCAGGTTGGAGTATCGTGTTTATCCATGTTATACTTTGTACTCTTTTATAATGTTACGTGAATTATAGAATATAAGTTATGTTATGACATGTTAGTACTTCGTATCATAAATGATTTTATGTTAACTTGTATATCTATTAATTTCTTTAAATCAGTTTTATCACAAATATTTAATATAGAAAATAATTATATAAGAAGGTAAACTCAACAGCTATATAAGCAAGCTCACAATAAGTAATAATTCAAATTTAATACATTATTTAATACAATTGTTTGGTTGTTTATAAATACAGAAAACAAATTAATAATGTTTATTGAAAGTAAACACTTATTTTATTTAATAGTAATTAATTTAGTTTTTGTTGTNAAACTAATGTTGACGTGAAAACCACTTCTGGTGTAGTGAGGGGTCAGACAATACAGGTATTGAACACAACTATTAATGAGTTTTTAGGCATACCTTATGCCGAACCCCCGGTTGGAAAGCTTAGGTTTGCTAAACCAGAACCTATTAAAACACCCATAAAAGTGAGTATTATTATACAGTTAATACATTTTGATATTATTGTTTGTTGTTTAATGTCTATTAATATTGACTTTCCTTTATTTTGAAAGGATATAATAGATGCGACAAAATCAAAGGATTCATGCATTCAAAATCCAATGGATATGTTTCCTAATCTTACATTTAGTGAGAATTGTTTGTTTGTAAACGTATGGACTCAAAATGTGGAAACCAATGGCCCATCAAAACTAAAACCAGTTATGTTTTACATACACGGAGGGGGTTTAGCCGTGGGATCAATATTTACTTTAAATGGTAGTGTTTTGGCCACCAATGATGTGGTGTTTGCCTCAACCAGCTATAGATTGGGTCAATTAGGCTTTCTATATGGGGATCAGGAGGACGCGCCCGGAAATGTCGGTTTTCACGACCAGTTATTGGCACTGAAATGGGTTAAAATTATTGTTATTTTATAGTTATTGTTATAACTAATTTTGTTATAAAATAATTAATACACAATAATAGGTAAGAGACAATATCCATGCATTTGGAGGGGATAGGGATCAGATCACTATACTCGGTGGGAGCGCAGGTAGTTGGTCCGTATCGGCTCACATATTGTCTCCTCTATCGAAAGACTTATTCAAGAGGGCTATTATGGAAAGTGGAGCTCATCTGTACAATAAGGACAGGGATATAATCAGCAAAAGTGAATCAATACTTGTGGGCAAACAAATGGCTACGGATTTCAAATGTAGTGAATCTGAGGATTGGTTGCAATGTTTGCGAAGTATTGACGCAAAAGAGTTCAATAAATACTCAAAACCGATGACATATCCGGTGTTGGGGACAGACTTTCTTCCGATTTCTGCACAAAAAGCATTTGCAGACAAAAACTTTAACTCAGGTTTGAGTTTAATATTCAGTGAATTGGTTTTAAAAAATTTGTGTTTTATATTAATTTATTCAGATGTGGACATTATAGCCGGTATCGCCACCAATGAAGGTTCACTACTGGCAATGTCCTTTATTCAGCCCATTGGGAACACCACTTTGGATGACATTGAAAAGGCTATCAAAGCGGTTGATGATGTTTACCATAATCTTGATGTTAAAAAACTCGAAGATTTTTATTTGAAAAATATAGACATAACCAGTCCATTGGCATTGAGGGAAGCCTTTTATGAGTTGGTCGGCGACTTAATAATGAAATGTCCCACATACCATTTTGCCAAACAATTTGCTACGAGTGTCCAAAATAAGAAAAATGTTTACTTCTACCAGGTTACTTATATGAGCCAAGCATTTGCTAAGCAAATACATTGTGATATCCCAGGGATGGGAATATGTCACTGTGCTGAGGGTGATTTTGTATTTGGCAATCCATTCATTACACCCAATATTTATAGCGAATTGGACAGACAGTTTAGTTTAGTGTTAATGAAAATGTGGACCAATTTTGTCAAATATGGGTAAATATAGTATATATTTTTATCCTAATCATTGCTAATTGTATATATTTATTTATTGTTCATTTAAATTATTTGGTAACACATAGTCAACCGGACATAGACTGGCCACATTTGTTAAACATTAATACAATTGATGTCAAAAACCTAAATCCTAACCCCAAACCCAATGTGTTTGTCAATCCATATGCGAGTACTTGTGATGGTGTTTGGAAAGACTACTTCTTGTAATCTAATGAAGTGATTATTTAAACAATTTTTAATAATAATAAAATTGTAATTAAATAATTGGATATCTTTGTAAAATAAATGAATATTTGTTCATAAATTTACTTATTTATTTCTTAGAAATATTTATTTATTTATTTATCAGATTTTAACACAATAATCGAAACTAGCAATAAATAATTTATTAGTTATAGAAAAAATTTACGAATAATAAACTATATTATAAAACATGAATTATCAAATTAACAACAAATTATATTGGTAAACTAATTTAAAATTATAATATTTAACTTAAAAATAGTAAATCATTTGAAGTGGAAAAAATATAATACAAACTTTTGTATAATAAAAACCTCTTGACTTAACTATCAACACTATTGAATAAAGTATTGTATTTACAAGTTAGTGTATCAGATATAAGGCTACCATAATCTATTGATAACTGAAAATAAAAAATAAGTTATAACTTTATTATAGCGTATTTAATCAATAATTAACATTTACCTTGAGTAGTCCATAAAGGAACTCATATCCATAACTCAGATAAAGTACTGTAATTGTTGATCCTAATTGCAATATGATTTATCTATTCATAAAATCATATAAATACTTCACAATAGTTCACATTACTTAAACATTTTAGTATCAATACAATTGCTATTTATTAACTCCGAAAATATTAATTAATTAATACAAAATGTTTATAAAAAATAAAGTTGTTATAAATTTAATAGTATTTAATTTAGTTTTTGTTGTAACAAATTGTATTGAAACTAATGTTGACGTGAAAACCACTTCTGGTGTAGTGAGGGGTCAGACAATACAGGTATTGAACACAACTATTAATGAGTTTTTAGGCATACCTTATGCCGAACCCCCGGTATAACAAATTGTATTGAAACTAATGTTGACGTGAAAACCACTTCTGGTGTAGTGAGGGGTCAGACAATACAGGTATTGAACACAACTATTAATGAGTTTTTAGGCATACCTTATGCCGAACCCCCGGTCGGTGCGCTTAGGTTCGCTAAACCAGAACCTATTAAAACACCCATAAAAGTAAGTTATTATAACTTTTTCCTAATATTTATTATAATAATAATTATTATTACACTTTCTTAAAGGATATTATCTCAGCAACCAAACCAAAAGACTCATGCATTCAGCCTTTATCTCCGTTTCCGTTACCAAACTTGACTTATAGTGAGAACTGTCTGTTTGTAAACATTTGGACACAAAATGTGGAAACCAATGGCCCATCAAAACTAAAACCAGTTATGTTTTACATACACGGAGGGGGTCTGAGTATTGGCTCTGTATTTACTGGAAGTGGTAGTGTTTTGGCCACCAATGATGTGGTGTTTGCCTCAACCAGCTATAGATTGGGTCAATTAGGCTTTCTATATGGGGATCGGGAGGACGCGCCCGGAAATGTCGGTTTTCACGACCAGTTATTAGCACTTAAATGGGTATAAATTAAATTATTATTTTTATTATTTTCCTTTTCTGATAGAATTTATTTATTTTTTTGTAACTATAGGTCAGAGATAACATTCATGCCTTTGGTGGGGACAGGGATCAGATCACTATATTTGGTCAGAGCGCCGGTAGTTGGTCAGTATCAGCACACATACTGTCGCCACTATCAAAAGGACTGTTTAAGAGGGCTATTATGGAAAGTGGTTCTCATCTGTACAATAAGGACAGGGATGTGATCAGCAAAAGTGAATCAATACTTGTGGGCAAACAAATGGCTAAGGATTTCAATTGTAGTGAATCCGAGGATTGGTTGCAATGTTTGCGAAGTATTGACGCAAAAGAGTTCAATAAATACACAAAATCGTTAACATATCCGGTGTTGGGAACAGATTTTGTGCCCATTTCTGCACAAAAAGCATTTCAAGAAATGAAATTCAATTCAGGTTTAAATGAAATATTAACTGCACTAATGACTGGGATTTAAAATTGTTATAAATCTGATTAGATGTGGACATAATAGCCGGTGTGGCCACCAATGAGGGATCAATGTTTGAGGCAATCTTTGGTTTACAGCCCACTGGGAACACCACTTTGGATGACATTAAGAGAGCAATCAAAACGGCTGATGATATTTACCACAATCTGGATATTCATAAACTCGAAGAATTTTATTTGAAAAATGTTGAC